AAACCTATGATGAAAGCTAGATAATGGAGAACCTTAAATGCCTGGCCAGGAATTTGGACTTTATTTTCATGGCAATAGTAAATTATTTGGATTTTTTGAGTATGGACTGACATAATCTATATTTTAAGAAGATACCTCCATAGCTGGGTAGGATGGAATCTGAATTAGAGTTGGGCCTTTTGGAATGGAAAAGAGAAAATACACATAAAACATGATTCAGAGGCTGAATGGACAGGGCTTTGTGTGTTGAGAGAAAGGGGAGCCCAAGATGATGCCACAGCTTTAATAATCTGAAGATGGTGACGTATTACCCAAAATAGGGAATGGTTTTCCCTTGAGTTTGTTCTAAAATCATTTTAGGGATGGGGGATGAGTTAGGATAGAGGAAGAGAAGGAATTTTTAGAGTTGCTGAGTGTGACAGAGTGTGTGTGTGTTATGAACAGTAGTAGGGTGAGTGAGTGGGGAATTTGGATTTTTCAAGCAGAGCTGCCAAGTTGGAAGTTGGACCGGGCAGTTCGTCGCATAGTATAGAGGTCATTTTTAAAGATTGTGAACTAGGAATCATCTACATAATGGCAATAGTTGAAACTCAAAGAGCAGATGAGTTTGCTTTGGTATAGCAAAACCATGTAAGGGACAAGTGGAAGAAAATAAGATACAAAGCTAACACTGATGTAGCGAAACGAATAAAGATACTATGTCATAGATGCCACAGAAGTAAATGCAGTAGAGAGTTTATGCAGAGAAATCTTTTACATTTCTCTGCCATTGTATATGTTTTTTTGGTCACTGGGCAACTTCTCTGCCTCCAACACACTTTCCTCCTCCAGCACATGAGCAATTCCATTTATGTGAAAACAATGCAAAATAGCGTCTTCCCTGTGGAGCTTTAGGTAGTTAAGCACCTCTTCCTCTATAGTCCAATAGCCATTTAGACATATACAATTATATCTTGATGTGTTATATTTTATTGTTTAAAAATATATCTAATTCCATGTTGAATTGTGAACACATTCAGGACAGGACAGTTTTTTATTAACTTTATATCCTGGGCCTAGATAACGTTGGATACATTATAGATGCCTAATTAATGCTGGTTGAATGAATGAGTGTAAAGAGGTTTTAAATTTCAAGGCAAGAGATATCTGAACTAGAGTAGTAATAGAAGAAATGGAGATGGGACAAAATCAAGGACAGATGATCTTCAAGAAGAGCAGCTTCAATAGAGAAGGGACACCTACTGTAGGGAGTCCCTCAGGGAGTCAGTAAGATATGAGAGAAAGTATTGCTTCATTTAAAAAAGCTTTCACGGGCCGGCCCATGGCTCACTCGGGAGAGTGCAGTGCTGATAACACCAAGGCCACGGGTTCGGATCCCATATAAGGATGGCCTGTTCGCTCACTGGCTGACAACACCAAGTCAAGCGTTAAGATCCCCTTACCGGTCATCTTTTAAAAAAAAAAAAAAAAAAAAAAAAAAAAAGCTTTCACTGGTCTGCACTCAAGCTGATCAGTGCTGTGAATATGTTATAAGTGAACCAAGATATCAGTCCCCTCAGCTACTTTCCCAGTGGGCCATACAAATATCATCATCTTTTATGTGTGCCACAACATGAAAAAGTACCTTTTTGTTTGTCTGTGATTTGTAGACTATGTACTTTCAGTAAAGATTTGAGGGGTGTTATGGGTTGAATTGTGTACCCCCCAAACATGTTAGAATTCTAATCCCCAGTACCTAAGAATATGACCTTATTTGGAAATAGAGTCTGGCAGCTGTAATTAGTTAAATTAAGATGAGGTCATTAGGGTGGGCCCTAATCCAACATGACTAATGTCTTATAAAAAGGGAATACTGGGGCCGGCCCGGTGGCGCACTGCTACAGTGCACCGTTTGGGAGCGTGGAGGCGCTCCCGCCGAGGGTTTGGATCCCATGTGGAGACTGGTTCCCGCTCACTGGCTGAGCAAGGTGCGGGCGCAACACCGAGGGTTGCGATCCGTTGCCGGTCACGAAAAAAGACAAAAAGGAAAAAAAAAAAAAGGGAATACTGGACACGTTAACAGGCATGCACACAAGGAGAATGCCATGTGAAAATGAAGGCAAGAGACTGGGGTGATGCTTCTACAGGCCAAGGAAAGCTAAAGATTGCTAGCAAGCCTTCAGAAACTAGGGTAGAGGTATCGCACATTTTTTTTTCTTTTAATCTAAAAAAAATTTTTAATTGATAAATATATATATATCCAAGGTATACAATATGATGATTTGATACATGTGTACACTGTGTAATAATTATCATGATCAAATTAACACATCCATTACCACTCATGCTGTACATTAGATCTCACCTTATAACTGAACATTTATACTCTTTGATCAACATCTCCCCATTTCCCCAACCCCCTAACCCCTGGCAAGCATCGTTCTGCTCTGTTTCTATGAGTCTGGCTTTTTTAGATTCCACATGTAATTGAGATCATACAGTACTTTTCTGTGTGTCTGTGAACATCTTCTTCCTCACAGCCCTTGGAAGGAACTAATGCTGCCAACACTTAGATCTCAGACTTCTAGCCTCCGCAACTCGGAGACATAAATTTCTTTTGCTCAAGCCACTCAGTTTGTGGTACTTTGTTATGGAAGCCCTAGGAAACTAATTCAAGGAGAAATTTCAAGTGTGCTTAAAAGTCTCAACTCATATTTCCTCTCTTTTTTCCCTCTTGCAGTTAAATTCCTTTTGTTTATGAATTATATAGATGTCAGTTCAATAAATGTATTGAGGGGCCACTAGGTGCCACACATATTGTGCTGAAGACATAAGGACAAAACCTCTACCCCATAGACATAATCTATACCCCAAAGCACATATAAAATATGGGAGTCACAGGTAAACATACAATTTAAATATAATGTACAAAATGTAGTGACCCAGCATGCATAGGACATTCTGGTAGAATAGAAAAAGGACATTTGTGCAGTCTTATAAAACCCAGGTCACAGGTTTGGACTTCCATACCAGTTAGTCGCAAAAAAAAAAAAAGACATTTTACTCAGCCCAAAGATTCAGGGAAGACTTCCTGGATTAAATAATGCCTGAGCTGCATTTGAAGGAAAAGGAGGAATAAACCAAATGAGGAGAAAGGATGTTCTAGGCAGAGGGAGCATATAACCAAGATATGGTTTAAAGACAAAGTGGTATGTATGGAAAGTGTTACTGTGTATAGTTCAATATAACCAAAGTGTAGAGCATGAGACAACAAATGCCAAGAAGTGAGGCTGGCAAGACAGGTAGGGATCACAACATAGAAGACTTGTCTTCTAGTTATAACATCAAGGTCAAGGGTTTGATCCCCATATGGCCAACAGCCAAAAAAAAAAAAAGAAAAAGCAGTATTATTAAAAAAAGATTTGTCTTATTAATTTTATACAGAATGATACTAAGTAGAAGAGTAAAAGCCCAGACTCATTCATACTTTAGACAAATCAGTTTGGCAGCTGTATGAAAGATGGATTTGAGGGCCGGCCCAGTGGCGCACTGCGCTAGTGCGCCGCTTGGGAAGCGCGGAGGCGCTCCCGCCGAGGGTTCGGATCCCACATACAGACCGGTTCCCGCTCACTGGCTGAGTGAGGCGCGGGGGCAACACCGAGGGTTGCGATCCCGTTGCCGGTCCCGGTCCGGTACGGGGGCGACACTGAGGGTTGCAATCCGTTGCCGGACACGGAAAAAAAAAAAAAAAAAAAAAAAAAAACAGAAAGATGGATTTGAGAGTAAAGCAGACCAGTTAGAAGGCTACAGCAATAGTCCAGGCAAGAGATATCTGAACTCGAGCAGTAATAGAAGAAATGGAGAAGGACAGAATCAAGGTCAGATATGAGGTAAAATTAGTTTGACTTGTGCTTGATAGGACTTGGAGGAGTCATGGATGAATCCATGGTATATTATTAGTTGACGGTGTTATATAGTGTTGCCATTTATTGACATAGGAAATTCTGGAGGAGGGACAGTATAGTGAAGAGGGTAATGAATTCCTTAGACATACTGAGTTTGGAGAGACTAAGACATATATAAGTGATTATGTCCAGATAAGTCTGAAGTCCCAGGCAGACATCAGAGACATAGCTAGATACTCAAAAGCCATAAACTAAAGTCATAAGAATGGAATGATGGTACTTGAGAAAAATGTAGGACATCTGTATCCAGCCCAGCAAAGACCACCAGGTCACCACTGAAAGTACCCCAGGCTCCTGAACCAGGGTGGCAGGGGGTGGCCTCAGCCACACCCCACTGACGTCCATATCCAGCCCAGTGATGACCACAGAGCAACTGCTGGGAGCACCCAAGGCTCCCCTGCCAGAATGAGGGGGGTACCACAGGCCTTGACCACACCCCCGTTCCTCCTCCTCCCACTGTATTCTCCTCCTCTTTCTCTCTTCCTCTCCCCACAACTGCTCCACAACATCTTAGAAAGTAAAAAAATAATAACAATAATAAATAAAATTTTTAAAAAGTGTTTAGGAAGAAATGTACTAATGTCGACAATTTAATTTGAAATGCACTAAAAATAAGATGGACTGATGGATGAATAGAGGGATGGATGGATGGGTGATATGTGATAAACAAAGTTTAATAAAATTTTAATGAAGAAATGTTGCTATGTATTTGAAAACTTTCATTAAAAAATGTTGTGGATAATTAGCAAAACCAAAAAAAAAAAAAAAGAAAGAAAGAAAAATGTAGAACAAGAAGAGTAATGGGCAGAGGATGGAGGCCTAGAGGAAATACCAACCATTCGGGGATAAGCAGAATAGCTGTTCATAAGAGATATTGAGAAAGAATGATCAGAGAAGTATTATAGAAGATTAGCAATTTAGAATGTCACTTTGTAAGAAGCTATAAATGTTTATCATTGTCAACATCATGATCATCATCATCACAAGGGAGCATTTATGAGGCTCCCTTGAATTCCTGATTTTAATTAAATATATATTGAAGTATGAATATATTACCTGTTTTTCACAAGCCAGTAGTCTTTCCCATTAAGGTTACCATAGCCAACCACTAGTACTCCATGATTCACAGTCTGATTACAGGATGGTTCATAATAGACACCTGAGAATAAAATATGGGTTGGGGAAAAAGGGTGAATGCTATCTGATAATACAGGACATTTGAAAATGCTATTACTTTTTTTGACAGTTCACCAGTTAGGAGATCCAAGCCTTGACCTTGGTATTACCCACTATTACTTTTTATTAGACTGTTTCGGATATACGAGTATGGCAAGGTTAATTAAAATGTTAGGAACACATACTCTCAAGCTTAAACTATTTAGAGTTCATAATTCTTTGCCATCAAGGCTATATTTGTCAGTTTTCTTGCCAAGTTTGGCACCAATACAGTCATAGTCCCCCCAGGAAACTTTTGATAAGCTACCACCTTTCTCTAATTATTTTTTTAACTTACAATCAGTTATTGTATTTCTTTGTATATATTCCTAAATTGTTTGTTTCATACATTTTTATACCTCACTAGATTAAATGCTGTTTAACATAAGGTTTAAAAGATATATTGTAGCCTTCTACTCTAATATAATGTTGACCCTTTGTGGGTGCTCAGGAAATATGTTACTCAGTTTTGCATTTTGTGAATAATATATTTAAGTCTCAGCTTTAAAAAAGTGTTAGATGTCCTCCTTATATACTTCTGTGCGATACCTACACTATAAATTCTCTACTGTGGTTAAGAGCACAAACTCTGGAGTCAAGTTACATAGTTTTTTTTTTTTTTTTTTTTTAAAAATGACCGGTAAGGGGATCTCAACCCTTGGCTTGGTGTTGTCAGCACCATGCTCAGCTAGTGAGCAAACCGGCCATCCCTATATAGGATCCGAACCCGTGGCCTTGGTGTTATCAGCACCGCACTCTCCCGAGTGAGCCATGGGCCGGCCCAAGTTACATAGTTTTTAATCCCCGCTCAACCCCTGTCAGATTGTGTGACCCTTCTAAGACTTTTACTTCTAAATTAGGATTTTTGTGAGGGTTAAATGAGATAATATAAATTTACCGTAGTACCTGCCATATAGTGTTAGTAAGCTTTGATAAGGATTACTTTACTGATTAGAACTGGGAAATATTTATATGAAATGGAAGATTCTGTTTAACCTATCTAAACATTCAGAGGTGGAGTGATGGGGAAAGGATAATATTCTTTCTTATAGTGTGAAGGCAGCATATAACAAGAGTTATATCTGAGTTACATATCTGAGTGTTTACCACTTTTGTAGAGGAAGAAAGAAGAATGACTTGCATCTATAGCAACAGACACAGGTCCTTTATTGGCCACAGCTTCTTTCAGAGCATCTTCGCTGCCAAAAGGAAGTTCAGTGTACTTTGAACATGTGGCAGCACGATTTTTTGAGTCATAATGGCACTTTTCATCCTGCAAAAAAAGTATAAATCAAAGAAGTATACTTCAACCTGCTTTAAAAATCACCAACATCCTAAGTATGAATTTCAAGTATGCTTTCTTTTCTCACTTTAACCTTTTCAAGTGCCTAAAGCTCCTTCTCCTTTTAAAGAAAGAAGAATAGAATCTTCCAAATCCTAACAGTTCCAGGTTTCACCAATAAAAGAGGAAATACTGGAACTATTTTATTGTTTTAAATTGTGCACATCTTCATACATGCAAAGCTTGCCAGGACAATGTCCCGTCAGACTCCGAGGTGGATTGTAGGAGAATAGTACGTAGAGATTATAAACTTTTGATTAGCACCTTAATGTCTTTTTGATGATGTCTGCAACATGATCTACAGATAAAATGATGGTTTATAGAGATTGTATACTATGCAAAACATATTTCAAGTGGGAAAAAGCTTACAGATTCATGTTTGTTTTATACAGAACTGTTTTTTAATGCTTAACAGAAAAAGAACTTGAAAGAAATTAAATATACAGTAGTTAAGAGGTTTTTGAATGATTTTAATCTTTTCTAAATTTTCTATAATACAGACATATTACTTATATCATTTAACAAAATGTGTAATAAACTTGTGAGGAGGAGGAGAGCATTATTTAGCTTCATAGTAGGTGGGAGAATGACGTGGTTGATAATCTGAGAATAAAGTCGAGCATGGAAGGCTACAGAACAAAAAAGTTTAAATACCAGGCAAACATAGGGAGAGAATTTTAAGGATGGTTTGCTTAAAGTCTGTTTTTAAGCATGACTGCTACTTGCTTGTTTAAAAGTATTGTGCCACTGGTAAATTAAGAATGCTATCATGTAAGAAAGAGATTTTGAAGATTTAAGAATTCCTGATGGGGTTCTCTCATATACACAACACTGCTTCTCAAGCAGTTGGCTTGGTGGTGAGTCAAAGGATAGCATGAGGTCATGGGGATATACGCAAAATTTGCTTATGACACACCATGGCTTTGTAGGGATAGGAAGCGTCTGAATCGATGCCATTATTATCGATGATGTATTGGAAGGCCTCTGTCATAAAGCCACCATTGCAGCCTTTATTCCCGTATTTTTCAGTTGAGCAATCCACCAGGTTCTGTGCACTGAGAGACACCAGTTTTCCTGTTTTCAGCTTCAGTTGTGCTTCCAGGGCTCCCACAGCACTGAAAGCCCAGCAAGCACCACAAGAACCCTAAAATAGAGACAAGGTCACAAAGGCAATCACAGAAAGTCAGTGAGGATGAGTTCCATAACACAAAACGGGCAACTCCCAACTAAAATCAGCTCTGTCAGTAGTTCCCAGGAAGAGCTCCCCCACTACAATTTATTTCTCTCTTAAACAATGGAAATGAAAATATATACTTGATTTTACTCTAGGAAAGGTCCAGCCTTGATAGAGATTTACAAATGGCTAGGCTCAGGGCATAGTGGTTTTATTCAAAGTGGTTTTATTCTTATTTAAGAAACAGTACTCACTAAGTCAATACCAAATCTCACCTATCTTCACCCATAAGTAAGAAAGATATCTACAGTAAAGTGATTTTGAAAGGAGCTAAGATGATTTCCTTGACCTAAAATACCCCTCCCTCCTGTCAAATAATGCCTGAAATATAAGAGTTTTAATCCTATGTTAGCATGTTTCAAACATTGTTATTCTCTGAATTTTTTGATCAAAAGATATTATACAAGGAGGCATAAAGAAACAAAAATGCAAAACTGTGTTAGTTAAAAAAAGGTGCAAAGGGTCCAGAGTCCCATCATATTTCCTTTCTTTCTCTTTTCTCCCCTCTTCCCACCTTGCTTTCTATGCAAAGGGAGAAAGTTAAAATTGCTTTTCATTAAAGCAAAATTACTCATTACAATATAAGTACCCATGGAAAGGAGCTCATTAAATTACTCAGAGTTAACACCTAGATATGTAGCTTTTTGAGTCTTCTCAAATTTTTATTTTAGAGAAGCTTGGGTAAGAAACCCAAAACCAGTTGAAAGAAAACTACATCAGTGGAAAATAAGAGATTAGCAGTGCCATCCACATCTCAATAACTTTATACTTTCTTCATTGGTCACAAACTGGGACAGCTGCTCAGAACATTCTGATTCTTCTCCCTTACCCCATGATGTCTAAGGCGATGTATGTGTTTTGCCCTTAGTTATCTCTAACTTAGAATTTTTGTAGTTTTTTAAACAAGCAAACTGAAGGAAAATACAATAACATAGGAACAACAGTTTTACAGAGCACATATCTTGTATTTTAACAATGCAAGCTTAGCCATGAGTTAACTTGACTAGTACACTCTAGCTCTAGTTCTTTCCTCTCCTTCAATCCTGTCATTCATAAGTGAGATGGAGAGAAAAACAACCTGATCAGGGTTCTCTCACACACCTGACATAACTTCTTAAGCAACTGGCTTGATGGAGGGTCCAGTGCAGCCAATGGATAAACATGAGCACTAAATGTTTGTCTTAAAGACCTATTTGCTTAGTTCACAATTTTTGTGGCTTTATAACCAGTGGTGTTCTAAGGACTGTGGGGAATATAAATAAAGTATAGTATGTGATTTTTGCCCTCAAGGAGCTTACAAGTTCGTTCGGAGGACAAGAATGACAAAAATAATTAGAGTGTAACATAAGGGACTGTGAGATTCACTGCCAAATTACACAACTAGACTAAGCATTTAAGGAAGAGAGAGCTCTACCTAGGGTCAGAGGCCTGGGATGATAATACTCACCTGGTATTTCACTTCAGTAACACATCCCTTCTCTCTCCAGTCCAGAGAATCAGGCAGTTTCTGATTAGGGTTTGACTTGTAAGTCACATTTCTTTGCCATTGGCTGGGAACTCTCAGGCAACTCATCAAAGACACCACTTCTTCACTGGTCTACAAAGCAAATATATATCCCCTTTCAATTATATGCTTATTTTATTTATTTATTTATTTTTTAAAGATGACTGGTAAGGGGATCTCAACCCTTGGCTTGGTGTTGTCAGCACCATGCTCAGCCAGTGAGCAAACCAGCCATCCCTATATAGGATCCGAACCCATGGCCTTGGTGTTACTTTTAACTTTTTTTTTTTAAGGGGATCTTAACCCTTGATTTGGTGATGTCAGCACCACACTCTCCCAAGTGAGCCAACCGGCCATCCCTATGTAGGGACCCGGACCCATGGCCTTGGTGTTATCAGCACCGCACTCTCCCGAGTGAGCCACGGGCCGGCCTATATGCTTATTTTTAATATCCTAATAACTCTAATTGTGAATATATTTTAAGACTGGGAAAAACTAGTGGTTGTTGTAACCAATAAAGCTACTGTTACTATCTGGAGGGATGTATTATCTGGGTATCTTTAGTCTTGCACTTTGCATCAGCATCCCAATTACGCAACCTCATCGGGAAGGAGAAAAAGAAAATGATAAAAACTAGAAGTTACAGGGAATTAGATTTTTGGCTCAAAGCAGAGGAGAATTTTATTAAAAAGTGCTGTCTAAAACAGAGCAAACTGGTTTTCCTGTGAGAAAGAATTACAAAGGAGATCCCTGCATTTAAGTAGTGTCCCAAAGGATACACAAAATGCATTCACTGCGGTTAAAAGAGACATTCAAATTGCTTAACAGAATCAAAAGGTCCACAGGGATGGAATGGGCAGATGTGTATTTCTCACCCCGCAAGTTTGTGTTTTACTGTTACGAAGTTTTCTTTTCTGTAACTATGCAAAAGCAACTCTGAGAAGACAAGGCCAAATCAGCTATAGCTGGGAATTCTACATTCTTCAGCCAGTCACTGACCTCCCCCACCCCACCCCGCTTCTTCTCATTCTTGGGGGCCCACAGTGACCCCAATTAGACAGAAAGACTCCAAGGACATTCTTCTCCCTCTTCTCGGATAAGAGAGGCCACATCAAAACCAGCCACGGGCAGCCTATACAGCCTTTGCAATAACAAACTATAGAGTAAGGCAAATCATAACTGAAGCCAAATGTTTCATTATTTTAGTTATTATTTTAGTTATACTAAGTTTCCACTTATATTGCCAGAGCTAGGACTCAGACCCTTCAAACCCATTGAAGACTAGGTCCCCAGATCCCTCACACGCAGGTCCATGTTAGGTAATTAGGAAAGATTCCAGGAGCTGTTGGAAAACATACGTGCTGTCTTCAGCTTCCTCAGCGGCAGCAGCTTACAGATCCGGCGGTGGCAGGGGACTTGCGGAGGAACCCAGGGGCACTAGCGGCAAAAGCAGTAGCAGCCACCGCCTCCAGCAGCAATAGTGGTGACCTCCCCCCCCCCCCCCCCGCCGAGGGGCATCGGGAGTAGGAGGCGCCGTGGATCAGAGCCACTTATCCTTTATACTTAAGTCCATAACCCAGGACACCTGGGTGCTCATGCGCAATTACATTAGAGGATAACCAAGGAACACGTTAAGCACACATGCATATTTACATCAAATCCTTGGCAGGATTCTGAACACCTGAGGGGCCTTGACCATTTTCCTAACACACCTTTGTGATATGCTCACTCATTGAGCATATGTACAGCCTTCTCCGTAAATATTCACAGCACTGCTCTAAGCTCACTGAATATGCATATGGATCTGACATTGTAAGGCATAAATACTAGTCTTCCTCCTTTGTTTGCGGTTCTGCTGAGGTCTGCGTTCCCCAATCTTCAGATTGTCTTTTTTAGGGAAAATAAAATCTCTCTTTTTCTCTTTGGCAGATCCTATGGTCCTCTTTTGTTAACAATAGGAATTTGGTCTATCTAGGGTGTTCCCTTCCAAAGGGTACTATGATTCACGACTGTGGCCAAAGTGAAAAGTTTTGTAGGGTGGAAGAGAATCTAAAAACTAATTGGAGACTATTTGTGGTATTTATACCCACACGCTCCCATTAAGCAAGATTGTCAATTTAGACTTACATGAGTATGGTAACTTACACTAAAAGACCATGAGTAGTCTTAACGCAGCGCTTTCCAGAATTAATGAAAGATAAAAGCAATAGTAGTCTGAGTTCAAAATTTCCTCTAAAGAAGGGATTTGTTAGGAAAAGTGGTCAAAGTAAGAATGAGTAAGGAATTTTTGTACAAATTCTTATGTCCTTAAATTGTTTTCTAACTTTGTATGCATTATGTCTATACTCTACTTTGTTGTTGTTTACCTCCAAATTGCTTTGAGAGAGACAGAAGTCATGCTTACCCAGACTGACATGAAGATGGGATTATTTGTAATTTACTTACCATGTCTCCCAGGTGGTTCATACCTAGATCATATGAATGCATTCCCATTGAATGCTCAAGATTGTGAAGCATGACAAACTTTAGATTCTTTTCCCAGATGAGACGCCGTACTGCTTCTTCATTCTAAAATATAAGGAAAAACAACATAGTTATACTGCATCCTGGACAAACAAGTGTTCAATAATGAAAACAGCATTTTATGAAGCATTCTGCTAAGTATGGATCTGTCTGGGAGTACACAAATAAATGAATATATCCCATATAACAGCGAAAATTATATATTAATCTTAATTCTTACCTTAATTGCCTTAATGGTGATTAATATTATTTTGATATTTAATGAATTTCCTCCTTAATATGATAAAAAGTTTTTTTAGACTGCTGTTCTGAAGTTTATCCTTTATAGGTCATAAACTCAATTAATCTTTATTGATCTTTATAAAATGTCTTTTTTACCTTTACTCTTGACAAATAGTTTAGCTAACTATAAATCTGTAGCTATTTTTCTTCGGCTATTTGAAAATATTTCTTCATTATCTTCTGGTACTTACCATTACAGATGAGAGGTCTGTTGTCAATCTAATTATTGTACTCTGTTTCTAACTCTGGTAGCTTTTTTTTTAAGTTTATTTATTTATTAATATTACTTTTTTTTAATATTCTATGATGTTGCAGAGCAGTTGTGGGGGAAGGGGAGAGGAGAAAAGGGAAGGAAATAGGGTGAGAGGAGGAAGGAGGAGGGGCAGAGTTGAGGCCTGTGGCACCCTCTCATTCCTGCAGGGGAGACTAGAGGGCTTTCAGTGGTGGCTTGGTCATTGCTGGGCTGGGGGCAGATGTCAGGGGGGTGTGGCTGAAGTCCTTACCCACTGACTGCCCCAGCTTGGGAGCCTGGGGTGCTTCCTGCAGCGGCTCAGTGGTTGATGCTGGGCTGGTTGCAGGTGTTGGGGGTGTGTGGCCAAGGCCCAAGGGCCCCCACTGTCCTAGCTCAGGAGAGCCTGGGGTGCTTCCTGTGGCAGCTCATTGGTTGTTGCTGGTTGATTGTGGGTGTCAATGGGGCATGGCTGAGGCCCTTGGCCCCCCACCCTTGGGGCTGATTGCAGGTGTCAGGGGGCATGGCTGAGGCCCCCAGCCCTCTCCTCTCTCTGTTTTGATAGCCCAAGGGACTTCCAGTCCTTCAAAATTTTATAGGTGTTCTCTGGTGAGGAGAGATCTTTACTAGTTAATTCAAAACTTTGTTTCTGGTCTGGGCATTTTGTTTTTTCTTTCAGTTCAGTGTTGGATTATTTGCTGTTCCCACCACTTAAACTCTGCACTGGAACTAATTTGTTGTCCTTTGCTTACTTCTAAAATGGGGGAACGTCCTGTGGGGACCAGCATTTGAGACCTGTGGTTGAGCTAAATTGCTGCTTTACTGCTGATTCCCTGGGAAAGCTTTTTGTGCAGCTTAGGTTTTAATGGCTGACTTCCATTAAAGGTGCTTCCAGGACTCGTGAGATCCAGTACACCCGGGTTGTGTGGAAACTCTGGTCTGGGCCTGAGTCTTTTCAGCAAACGGCACCCCCTGCAGTTCTATATTCCTGACCAGTCTCCACTCAGTGGTCCTACACTGATTGGGGGGTAGATCAGCTGTCCTTTCTGTACCCCGTGTTCTCCCAGTGGGCCCATCTTCTCTACCATCACGCTCCAAACACTTCCATGGGACAGGCTGTGAGCTGGTCCCTTGCAGTAACTCTCAGGCCTCTGAGTGGCTCCGTTTCTTCAGCTGTTGTGGCTCCTTGCTCTTATGTGGGTCCATGGAACCCTATTAGTAGTCTTGCTGGCCTGGGGTCCACCAAGACCCTCTTTTCCCCTGCAGCCTCCAAGCAACTCCATCCAAAGGGTGAAGGAAATGGTTAATGGACTTCTGTGGTCAGCACCCAAGGACGTGTTCACTTGGCAAACTCGCAAATGAGTTAACCAAGAAATGTCAAGGATTGCAAACAATCCTTGAGAACGCTTGAAGTTGTGAGAACACTTTCTTGGGATGTTCCCAGGATGTGCATTGTAGATAACCAAGTGCTTGAGAAGGGAGGTAACGTCCTTCTGCTCTTGAGAAAAGTATAACAGAATTTATGCATTAATGCTTATCTCACATGCACAAGCTTGCTAAATGTAATAAAAGCTGTAACAGCGGCTGGGTCGGTGCTACTTGCCTGAGAGAGCAGTAGCCCCCCGCTCTTCACCTGCATCTCATCTGCTGTGTCTTCCTTCGCGTCTCCAATCATTTTAATCAACAAAAGGGCACAGCTGAGGCTTTTGCTGGCTCCTGCTCCGTGTGCTCACCAGCTCCAGCCTTGAAGTGGCCAGGGCTCGAAATGGTCAGAGTGTTTTTTTCTTTCTCTCATTGTGGCTTCTCCCACCTTCATGCACTCCATAAGTCTCTCCTCCTCTTCCCCTGAGCTCTACCACCCCCAGCTTGGCTGTCATTGCTTTTTAATAGTTGTAAATTGGTGGTTTTGTGGGAGAGAGTGATGCTGGGGACCATCTATTCTGCCTTCTTGACTGGAAGCCTACCTCTGGTAGGTTTTGTGACTTTCTCTTTTTCTTTGATGTTTTTCAACTTCATATGTGTCTATGTATGGGTTTCTTTATTTACCTTCTGCTGGGTTCTTTGATTGGATGACTCAGGACTTTTTTTCATATCTGGAAAATTCTCAACCAGTATCTCTTCATATATTGCTTCTCACCATTTTATCTAATTCTCTTCTTCAGAAACTCCTATCAGGTGTATTTTAGAGCCTCAAACTTTCCTTCATCTCTCTTCCTTGCATTTTCACAGGTTTTATTTTTATTTCCATGTGCTGCTTTCTGGGTGAATCCCTCAGTACTATCTTCCAGATTACTGTTTCTTTCCAGTCTGGAGTTTACCACTTTAATAGAGTATTTATTTCAATGACTGTATCTTTTATTTCCAAGTTTTATAATTTATTTTACAATTTCTTGTTCATTAGCATGGATGGTTTTTCTTTATATATAGTTTTTTTTTAAGTCATTTTTGGTTTTATTATTTTAATTCTATACAGAATGAATTCATATGCTGACTTTATTTTCTTGTTCTCCAGGAGATTCATTTACATAGGATACAATGTACATGGTGCCTCCTAGAATAGCTGAAACTCTCCCCCACCACTAAGGCCAGAGTTTCCAATAAGCATTAGCCCCAGTGAGAAGTCAGCAACTATTCTGCCCTGCCTCATTTCGTTGAGTTGGTGAGCCTAGGCACAGACCCTGGTTCCAGATTCCAGGTCCAAGTCTGATATAGGCCCCTCTCCCTTGGAGCAAGGTTTTACTGTTACCCCAGTGACGGACATAACAGGCATGCATAATGAGCATATTTCCAAACCGCAGAGGGGAAAAAACAGAATAAAGAAAAATAAATCTGACAAAGTACAGGAAAGGGAAAAACACGTGAACTTTGGCATAAATTATGAAGGTAGGATACTAATCAAAAGTTATGTTCATTTCTCCTAAGGGACTGGAATTATTAAAAAGAGAGATACCATTCATTTAACTAGATAGTAGTGCTAATTGTACATCTAACTCTAGTCAACCTTGAAATTGGGTACCTGGTCCTAAAGGGGAGTGGGTGAGGGTGAAATTCATCACCATTAAGAAAACCATATGATCATCTCAATAGATGCAGAAAAAGCATTTGACAAAATTTAATATTCTTTCATGGTAACAATTCTCAACAAATTAGGTATAGAAGGAATGTTCCTCAACATAAAGAAAACATATGACAAGCTCACAGCCAGCACCATATTCAATGATGAAAAGTTGAAGGCCCTTTCCTCTAAGAATGGAAAAAGACAAGAATGCCCACTCTTACCACTTCTATTCAACATAGATGAGCCAGAGCAATTAGGCAAGAAAAAGAAATAAAAAGCATTCAAATAGGAAGGGAATAAGTAAGATTTTCTGTTTGTGGATGACATAATTTTATATGTAGAAAACCCTAAAGACTTCACCAAAAAACTGTTAGAAGTGATAAACAAAATCAGTAAAGTTCCAGGATACAAAATCAACAATCAGTAGCATTTCTGTACACTAACAACTAACTATCTGAAAAAGAAATTAACAAAACAACCTTATTATATTAGTATCAAAACAAAAACAAACAAACAAACAAAAACTTAGGAATAAACTTAACCAAGGAGGTAAAAGGCATTCATACTAAAAACTATAAAACATTGACGAAAGAAGTTGAAGATGACACAAATAAATGGAAAGACATCCTGTGTTCATAGATTAGAAGAATTAATATTGTTAAAATGCCCATACTACCCAAAGCAATCTAGAGGTTCAGTGCAATCCCTATCACAATTCTAATGTCATTCTTCACAGAAATAGAAAAAAAAAAATCCTAAAATTTGTATGGAACCTCAAAAAAAAAAAAAAAAATCAACCCTCAAATAGGCAATGCAATCTTGAGCAAAAGGAACAAAGCTGGAGGCATTTCAAAATATGTTACAAAACTATAGTATTCAGAATAGCATGGTACTGCCATAAAAACAGACACATCGACCAATAGGATGGGACAGAGAGCCCAGAAATAAACCTACTCATTTATGGTCAATTGGTTTTTTACAAAGGTGCAAGAACACATAATGAGGAAGAGACAGTCTCTTCAATAAATGTTGAGAAAACTGGCTATCCACATATAGGGGAATGAAATTGCACTTTATCTCACCCCACATATAAGAATCCACTCAAAATGGATTAAAGGCTTAAATGTTAGACCTGACACTATGAAACTACTAGAAGAAAACATAGAGGGAAATATATCGAAAGGAAATGAAGTTAGTATGTCAAAGAGACATCTGTACTCCCGTGTTCATTGCAGCATTATTCACAAGAGCCAAGATATGGAATCACCTAAGTTCCACAACATTGGTCTGGGCAATCATTTCTTGGATATTACCCCAAAAGCACAGGCAACAAAAGCAAACATAGATAAATGGGATTGTATCAAACTGAAAAGATTTGGCATAGCAAAGGAAATGATTAACAGAGTGAAGGGACAACCCAAAGATTGGGAGAAAATATTTGTAAATTATATTATCTCATAAAGGGCTAATATCCAAAATATAGAAGGAATTCAAACGACTCAATAACAAGAAAACAAGTAACCCTGTTTAAAAATGGGCAAAGGAGCTGAATAGACATTTCTCAAAGGAAGACATACAAATGGCCAACAAAGATATGAAACAAGGCTCAGCATCACAAATCATTAGGGAAATGCAAATCAAAACCACAATGAGATATCACCTCACATCTGTTAAAATGGCTATTATCAAAAAAGACGGAAGATAAGTGTTGGTGAGGATGTGTAGAAAAGGGAACCCTCGTATACTGTTGGTGGGAATGTAAAATATTATTAGTAGTAGTAATAGTATTTTTGGCAGCTGGCCAGTATGCGGAGGGAATGTTAATTAGTACAGTCACTTTGGAAAACAGTATGGAGGTTCCCCCCAAAATTTAAAATTGAGCTACCATATGATCCAGCAATCTTACTTCTGGGTATATATCCAAAGGAAATGAAGTCAGTATGCACTCCCGTGTCCACTGCAGCATTATTCACAAGAGCCAAGATATGGAATCAACCTAAGTGTCCATTAATAGATGAATGGATAAAGAAAATGTGGTATATATATTCATAAAGGAATATTATTCAGCCTTTAAAAAAAAAAAAAAGGAAATTCTGTCATTTGTGACAACATGGATGAATCTAGGGACATTATGTTAAGTGAAATAAGCCAGGCACAAATATCACATGATCGCATTTATATGTGGAATCGAAAAAAGTCAAGCTCGGGCCAGCCTGTGGCTCACTCAGGAGAGTACGGTGCTGATAACACCAAGGCCACGGGTTCGGATCCCATATAGGGATGGCTGGTTTGCTCACTGGGTGAGCGTGGTGCTGACAACACCAAGTCAAGGGTTAAGATCCCCTTACCAGTCATCTTTTTTAAAAAAAAAGAAAAAAGTCAAACTCATAGGAGTAGAGAGTAGAATGGTGGTTACCAGAGGCTGGGGTGGTATGGAGTGTGTTGAGGGAGCGGGCAAGGGGGAAATGTTACTCAAAGGGTACAAAGTTTCAGTTAGACAGGAGGAGTAAATTCTAGTGATCTACTGGACAGCATGGTGACTATGTAATAATGCAATGCATATTCCAAAATTTCTAAAGGAGTAGGTTTTTTTTTTTTTTTCCTTTTTGTCTTTTTTCGTGACCGGCAACGGGATCGCAACCCTCAGTGTCGCGCCCGCACCGCGCTCAACCAGTGAGCGGACCAGTCTCTATATGGGATCCGAACCCTCGGCAGGAGCGCCGCCCTCTACCGAGTGCGCCACCGGGCCGGCCCTAAAGGAGTAGGTTTTAAATGTTCTCACCACAAAAGACAAGTATGTGAGGTGATGGATGTGTTAATTAGCCTTATTTAATCATTCTACAATTTGTGCATGTATCATAACATCATGTTGTTCCCCATAAATATATGCGCCCGCACCGTGCTCAACCAGTGAGCGGACCAGTCTCTATATGGGATCCGAACCCTCGGCAGGAGCGCCGCCCTCTACCGAGTGCGCCACCGGGCCGGCCCTAAAGGAGTAGGTTTTAAATGTTCTCACCACAAAAGACAAGTATGTGAGGTGATGGATGTGTTAATTAGCCTTATTTAATCATTCTACAATTTGTGCATGTATCATAACATCATGTTGTTCCCCATAAATATATACAATTATTATTTATCATAAAGAAAAAAAAGTAAAATTAAGAGTGCACAGCCTATTAAAAGTGTCATTTTTACACAAAATAATACATCAAATATATATAGCTTACAAACAGAAATATTATGTAGTTACAGGACTTAGTTATTTGAGGCAATAGAGGCAAAGTCTTAAAATCAGTCAATAAATATGCTTTGAAATAAAAACAAAGGACAACATCTGATAGCACTTCCATGTGACAGGGCTTATTGTTCCTCATATATGCCCAATGTGCGCCTTTCTCAGAGTCTTGCAGTCATTTTCCATTGGCCTGGGACCTTCACCCATTATCTACCTGTATTTTGTTTCCCAGGTTCTATCAATTCTCTGCTCAAAAGTCACCTTATTTTGAAGCCTTCCCTGACAATCCTATCATATATAGAGACTTCTTACTATCACCACCCAGAGTCCTTCCTACCCCCACATGCCTAGCTTTATTTTTCTCCACTGCACTTATCACCATCTAACATACTATATATCTGCTTGTTTATTATTTCCTGTCTCCCCCATTATGGTATAAGCTCCATAATAATAGAAACTTTGTTTCCTGCTGTATAATACCAAGAACAGCATCTGGCAAAAAATGAGTGCATAATATTTATTAAAAATACAGCTTGTAAGAACATAATTTTGAGAGGGAGAAAACTGGGTACTTGTGTAAAAGCACAAAAGTTCAAGTGGCAATCCCATCTACCTTTTCCTTGTATTGTTTGCTATAGGTTTTCTTCCAGAGGTGCCAGTGGTGATCCAGGGTAGGATCTTTATGCAGTTGTGCCATTGCAGAGAAGCACACCAAGAGCACCCAAACAAGCCATTTCATTCTGTTTAACAAAAGATAACATAGAAAGTGTAGTTATTTACTGCATATATTTTTTCATAACAGAAAATAGCAATGCAAAATCTATCAAAAGGACAAAGTATTATAAATCAGAATTACACAGGAAATTTCCTGGAATATACAGTCATAGGATAACTGCAGATTTATATCAGAAATACTACTTCCAATATTTAGTGGCACTTTTAAAAGTGATTTTCAGAAATTTCCCAATATCTGGTAAACCAAACACATCTAAAAAGTTAAAAAGCTGGGACTTTCCAGGATTTACTGACAAATCTAATCATAGGAAATCCTCTGTCCTCCTTTCCAAAAAGATCGTCCTTAAGAAGAGGACAGACCTCTGAAAAATCAGTTTATGTTCTGAATTTTTGAATACATGAGCTCTTCTTAACTGGTCTACTTAAATATCTTTAGAGATAGTTAAAAGACAACTCTAACCTATTGCTTTCACATCCTTACATCATTTTCCTTTTTAAACTTTTTTTCAATAATCAAATACCTATTTCAAAGCAAGCAATTAACTACTCTTTAAAACACCACTTCTATATTTAATTCAAAGAGACTTTAATAGGCATTCAGTGGCTAGTTCCCTCAAACTAGATTCTACTTTCTTTCTCATTTCTTTTAAATTTGAAACAGCTGGAATTTTAACCATGTAAACCTTTAAATTATATTCTGAAGAAAGCCACATTTCGGCCTCAAGCTTAGATGTTCAAGCAGACACTAACTTTTCAAAAACAGATTCTTTTAATCAGAAAGAAAAGAGGCAAGTTGAGCAACGTGATTTTTTAGTTTACTTCCTGAAACCAACCATTTAAAACTTGGCAGGCAGAGACCACTAAAAACATAAACAAACAGTGTTCAAATACCAAGTGGGAGAAGAACAGACAGTACATACGTGATAGAACCAATAGGTGCTCGCATAGTAAGAATCCTTGCACTCACTGGTGTGCTCTCTCCAAAGAATTCAAAGGCAGCAAGGAAATTTCAGTTGAACTGACTTTAAAAAGAATTGGAACCTGTCACATGAGATACCCACAATGAGGAAGTAAACTTTCGTTTCAGTTTCATTTAAAATCTAACTAGGGCTGGCCCGTGGCTCACTTGGGAGAGTGTGGTGCTGATAACACCAAGGTTGTGGGTTCGGATTCCTATATGGGGATGGCCGGTTAGTTCACTTGGGAGAGCGTGGTGCTGACAACACCAAGTCAAGGGTTAAGATCCCCTTACCGGTCATCTTTAAAAAAAAAAAAGAATCTAACTAGATCAGCTACTTCTAGCACTCTCCCTATAGTCTTGGGGACAAAGTGGGTACAATAAGCCATCAGTAAGAGACCCCAGTAGAGAAGATCAATAAAACAAACTCAACGAAGTAAGAGCAGCAAGTTTATCTTTTAATCCCTCATCGTTTTGATCATTCACTTTATTAAAAACACCAATTTTGGGCCGGCCCGGTGGCGCACTGGAGAGTGCGCCGCTTGAGAGCGCGGCAGCACTCCCGCCAAAGGTTCGGATCCCATGTGGAGACTGGTTCCTGCTCACTGGCTGAGCGCGGTGCGGGTGCAACACCGAGGGTTGCGATCCCGTTACCGGTCAGTAAGAAAGACAAAAAGGAAAAAAAAACCAAAAAACAAAAAAAAACACCAATTTTCACGAGAAAAAAATTTAATGATTAAAGACATTAGGATTAAACTCCTGAAATCCCAGCTCCTTCCATGATTTCCCAGGAAAACCTGCCTTAATCCTTTAACACAACTCACTCATGATCGACTATTGTCTAATTCTCATTCAGCTATTCATTGGTTCATCAATTAAAAATATTTGCATTGGGCTGGCCTGGTGGCGCACTGGATAGTGTGCCGCTTGGGAGTGCGGTGGTGCTCCCGCCGAGGGTTTGGATCCCATGTGGAGACTGGTTCCCGCTCACTGGCTGAGCGCGGTGCGGGTGCAACACCGAGGGTTGCGATCCTGTTGCCGGTCCCCGGTACGGGCGTGACACCGAGGGTTGCGATCCCGTTACCGGTCAGTAAAAAAGACAAAAAGGAAAAAAAATAAAAATATTTGCATTTTTATTAATACATGCTATATATAGCATGATATATATAAAGTATGTGTATATATAGTATAGTTTTGTATATATATGTTAGTATATTCATGAAAAAAAGGATATGCATCTAAGCACTAGAGGAGTTACCTGGGTATGGTGGGAGCAAGATCTTTTTATACATTTATTGACCGTTTGAGTTTTCTGTGAATTGCCTGTTCATCTCTTTTGCTCATTTTTCTATTGTATTGTTGATTTTTCTTAGTGATTTGTAGTTTAAAAATATATATATATTATGGCTACTAATCTTTGACAGTTATATACACTAAAAAACTCTCAGTCTTCTACTTGTCTTTTAACTTTATTTATAGTGAGTTTTTCTGTATGAAATTTTAAAATGCTGTAGAAAATTTTATTGTTTTTTCTTGAGATATATGCTTTTTGTCTCTTGCTTAACAAAGTTTTCCTCATCCCAGTATAATATTTTATTCTCATAGTTTTAAAGAGTGTTTTTCTTTCCTATGGTTGTTGCTTTTAGGTCTTTAATCCATCTAGAATTTAGTTTTGTGTATGGTATGAGGTGGGAAGTTTATTTTATTTGTTTTCTTATTTTTTTGTTTTGTTATTTTTTGTGTGTTTTTGTTTGGGGAGGTGACTGGCCAGTATGGAGATCTGAACCCATGACATTGGTGTTACCAGCATCATGCTCTCCCAAGTGAGCTAACCGGCCAGCCCTTTTTTTCCTATTTTGATGCTACCTCTATCATATACCAAATTCCCACATATACTTGGGTCAGTTTCTGAGCTCACTGTGCTGTTCTATACCATATGGTTTTAATGAAAACAGCTTTGTAATATGTCTTGATGTCTGATAGGGCAAGTAATCCCTGCCACCCCATGATTGGCTTTTTTAAAAAAAATTGTCTTAGCATTTGTGCATGTTAACTTTTTCACATGAATTTTTTTTTTTTCTTTTTGGACCAGGAAGGGGATCACAACCCTCAGCACAGCGTGGTCTGTACCATGCTCAGCCAGTGAGCGCACTGGCCATCCCCATATAGGATCTGAACCCGCAGTCTTGCCCGAGTGAGCCACTGGGCCGACTCTTCACATGAATTTTTAAAATCAGTTTATCTAGTTCCCTGAAAAATTCTGTGAGTTTTTATTTGAATATATGTATAAATTTGGGGAAACCCAACATCATTATTATGTGCTGAACCTTCTCACCTGTAGCAGACATTTTTATGTTTGTGGTCATCTAGGTTTTCATGAAATGATTATCTTGCTTTAACAATTAATAGTATATGGCCAATCTTATATTATTTATGCTCCCACTTCCCAGATTATTTTTAAATAATCCTAGATTTCATATAATTTAATATATAAAAAAGACAAAGACTATTAAACAAATATAACCACAATGCTATATTCACATCTAAAATAAACTAACAAAAATTTCTTAATGTCATCAAACATCCTGTCAGTATTCACATTTCCCTGCTTATACATTTTTTTAAGTTTGTTTGAATTGAGATCCAAATAGGCTGCATATATTATAAAACCATTGAGTTATATTTACTGTACCATGATGAATTCATGAATTTAAACATATTTGATGTGTTTCAATCCATTACAGCTTTATACTTACTAATACTCATATTGTCTCATCTTTGGTCAGCAGGAATTTATTCAAATTGGCTCCTGGGTCATGAGTCTCTATATTTGGCATGACATCAGTGTTCTTTAAAAGTTTCCTTTCTTTCTGATACAACAAGCTGTTGCAGGCTTATCTTGAAGAATTCCTGCCCCAGACCTGGAGTCAGCCATTTCCCCAAGGAACTCTTGTTCCTTTTGGTGGAAATGATGTTTAAATACCATAATCTAGACATTTGGAGTGTTGTTTCTAAGCCTTTTCAATAGAGCTAGGAAATAATCTTTTTTATTTTTAATACTAGATAGATCACAAGCTTACACTGATACTTCAAATTCAAATTCAAGAATATGCAGCTTACCAAATCTTGTATCTGTACCTCTTTTCAAACATGCTAAAAATCTCAGTTCTCAAAAATACCAACATAATCATTTAATTTTTCCCATAATATTCTAGAATAATAATGACAAGTCTATCAGAAATAAGATCATCACTGAGAACAATTTTAGGATTTTAAAGGACAAATTTTTGTCCCTTAGTGTTGCTTTGTGTTGCTTCACCCCCTACGGATTTGTCACCACACTTCCCCTGGGTGACAAAGAGGCAAAGGATTACTCAAAGCCCATCTCTTCTGAGCAGTGAGAGGCCCCAAAGTGGTTAACTTCCCTGGGAACCCTCAAGCGAGAGGCAACCCTTCCTTGGGAAATTAACACTGAATTGGGGTTCTCTTCCTGCATTTATTTTCCAGACCAGGAAGTTACAGGAAGAGAACAAAGGTGGGGTTATTATAGTTTAACAATATAGGCTGGTAACTTTTTTTTTTTTTTTTTTTTGTCCTTTTTTTGAGACTGGCCACACCACGCTCAGCCAGTGAGCACCGGCCATCCCTATATAGGATCCGAACCCACGGCAGGAGCACTGCCGTGCTCCCAGCACCGCACTCTCCTGAGTGCGCCACGGGCTCAGCCCTAGGCTGGTAACTTTCAGTGAAACAAGTCAGATGACATTCCAGTAGTCAATTAAGTGGTCCTATCAACACAAGCTTGATCTTAGCAAACATTCCTTCTTACAGCAATTTCTCAGTATCTTTACATAGTAACCAGTAACTAGTCTGTCTTTGAGCCAGCAACCTGCTGTGCCACAATTCTTATCTTGCAACAAAGACTCACTAGCCTGGGGAAAATTTCCTGTCCTTGCAAGGTCAATATTTGAAACTGCAAGACTTTGGGAAACCAGGCCCTGTGAAGTACATATGCTTTTTAGTATATTCCACACCTTAGGCCATGTTCCACTAAGGATGTAAGTCAATTACTGTGTTTTAAAGTCACCTAGAATAGTTCTCTATATGGTTATACTACCACCTTTCTACACAAGTTCATTTGTTTCATTTTGCTTTTGATTTTTAGTGATTGCTTTTTAAATTTATGTAATTTTGTTTTATAATTATGTAAAACATTTATGTGGATCCAAAGTTAAATCAATAAAATGAGGTATATTCAAAGAAGTCTAGCCTTTATTTCTGTCTTCTCCCATATTATTCCTTTTCTCCCTTGATAGGTAACCATTTAAACAATTTATGATTTATCTTCCCATTTTTAAAAATATGCAAATATGCATATACAAGTACAAGGGTACTTCAAAAAGTTGATGGAAAAATAGAATTAAAAAATAATATGAATCTTTCCATGAACTTTTTGAAGTACCCTCATATCCCTTCTTTCTTAACGATAATGTATTAAACATTCTTTTCTCTTTTTTTTTTAAACTTAACATTGTGTTAAGAAAAATTATTTAATACTTAGAAATAGGCTGAAGAGATTATCGGGTGTCCTTTCAGTGGAGTCCTAGGCATTGTCTAGTGGGCCAGACTGTTGGGGAGATTGTTTGAACTCTGTGGGGGAATAGTTAAGTTGTAAAAAACTGATAACTACGTAAATGATTCCTACACAAAGCAATGCAAGTGAGTTTTGTCTAATAGATTTTACTGAATAAAGAATGTAAATCTCTGTCACTCAAATTCTTATTTGAACCAGTTTTAATGTCTTTTTGATCCCTTTTTAATTAATGAGTTGAATAAAGTCTTTGATGTGTTCATTTTATATTTGTACAAGAGTCATGTTCACAACTTTTTGGAAACTATACTTTAGCCATTAAATCCTGAAAATAACTCCACAGTAATACATATATATTCCTCATTTATTTTTATTGCCACCTAGCATCCTTTGAACAATCTTTCTATTATTTGGAGAATTCCCCACATTATAAATTTTTTTGGACCGGCAACGGGATTGCAACCCTCGGTGTCGCTCCCGCGCCTCGCTCAGCCAGTGAGCGGGAACCGGTCTGTATGTGGGATCCGAACCCTTGGGCGGGAGCGCCGCCGCGCTTCCCAAGCGGCGCACTATCCAGTGCGCCACCGGGCCGGCCCCCCACATTATAAATTTTGCTTCTCCAATTTGAAACAAAAACTCCATTTCCAAGGCTCCATTGCAGCTGAGGCACAGGCATGTGACCTAGACTTTGCCAGTGAGACATACCAGTACAAGACATCATTTTGGGAGTGGGTATATGAGGAACCAGACCCATGTAGAATCCTTTTGGTAAGAATATTGGTGAAGATGTCCCCCGATGACAACAGCAGTGGCAGCAACAGATCTTCTGACATCTGGTCCCGAGTGTTACCTGTATAAGTTATAACGTTTATGTCAAATATTGTGTCTGCTCAGTGGCATCATACATTGAGCAGCCCTGTCTGTGTGGCTTGGGTGATGTTCATGGTTATGTAATCTCCAAGCCTGACTGACTCTCTGGCCTTTCAGAGATTCTGTGAACTTCTTGCAATTTTTAAATAAATTGTAGTACCCAGATAGACGAACCTGGTAATGACATCCAAAGTAATGCTGAGTTTGGAAAAACAAGGGCTAGGTCTTAGAAGGTAGATTGGGAAGGTGTTTTTTCTTAGGCTGTGAACAGAGGAAACTCAAGAAAGCTATTCTGGAGATCTCAATAATTTCAGGTTGTCTTCTTCTCTGTCCTTCTTTTACACATCTGGTATCATATTTTATTTTTTGGCTTTTAGCCTTGATGCTTTTATATGTGTTTGTACCCCCAGACATATATGGTTCAATTTCCTTAATGAGGAAATGAGCATAAAAACAAATTTCTTTGCATCAAGATAAAAATTGTAAACAACTGTTTTTATAAGGGACCATGTTTTTTTCCCCAGTCATTATTTCTTTGCCTGACAGGGTCTATAAACTTACACTCAGTACTAACAGGGCAACAGATAAAAGCCTTCTGCCTCCATTAATGGATATTGCTTAAATGGAATTGTGTATGAAATTATTTCTCTAGCCATTTCAGATAATTCTCAACCAAATGGGGAAAAAAATTAGGGATCAGTCATGTTGTTTAGTGGTGCTCTAAACAAGATTCAGGGCCACAATTGCCATTTAAATGTCTTCCCATGTTCATTTCTAAGTCTATAAATGTAAGTTGAGTTGGTCCCCAAATGAAACTGGCCTCCCAGGGATGATACCCACTTCTTCCCAGCCTGCGTTTGGACTCAAGAATTAAAGAGAGACTATATTTATTTCAGTTTGATATACATGACCCCTGATGAATGTGTAAGGTTTTGGAAAAAAACAATTTCCCCTGACAGAAGACAGAGAATACAAATGAATTTCCTTTTATGGGAAAATGAACAAGAGACATATTAACTGCCATTATTTTTTCTGTTGTCACGTTGTGGGCTGAGTAAAAAACTTAAAAGCTTTTGCATTTGTCTTGGTTCAGCCTCCTATTGGTTATAAGGCCTGGAGCAAGTAAATTAACAAACTTGTGGCTGACTTTCTCTATGCATTAAGTAGTGCAGAAATACTGACATTTCAAGGCGGCTAAACAGTGGAAGACACCAGCAATAGAATGTAATTATAATATCTCTTCATGAAGTGGTAAGATTTTATGGTTCCAACACATTATTCTTAGGTCTGTTCCCTTCGCAGAACATTTTAATAAAGAACTTAGTGTTACGATAGATGGTACCACAAAGTTTTGAACTTATTCTTTATTTGTATCACATAAGATAGTTTTATCTCACCCTCTAACTTAAAAATAAAGGATTCTGTCTTACTCATCTTTGTATTCTGTGGCTTAACACATGTTTAGACAATAACTAATAAATATTTGTTGGGTTAATTTTTATTATAATATCCAACATGTGTTATTTTCACTTCAAATTCATCACCATTTGGCAGTAGCTTCTGAGGATTTTCTTTTAATCTCCTCCTGGTATATAAAAGTCTATAAACAAATACAGTACATATTTGAATACATTAGGGGAACATGTCATTAGATAATCTATCCTTGTGTTCACTTAATGTATTTTATAAAATTAAAAATCATCCTGCAACATTCCAAAGTTGCAAATTGGATTTTTGCACAGTAAGTTCCCCTGAAATGGGGCACTCTTGATGTTGCAAATGCATTTAACTAGAGAGATTAAAAATGGAACAAAACAAAAAGGCAAGTCTCTGAGCATAATAATAAATCTTATTTAGAATGCTGGCTCCCTTCCATCATAGATGAAGAAACATCTCCTAAATGACGTGGAAAAGGGGAAATGAAAGCAAAATAAGGAAGCCTTTTGCCTACTTGTTACAGTTGTACCCTCTCTAGCTTTTGAAATCACCATCTCAGCCTCATGCACCCTGAAAATCAGCTGCTTCAAGTTCCTCTGAGGATTTTATAAGTATAGTTTTTACACTTTAAGAGTGTATCATAAAATTATAACAATTATTTATAGTTTTTAATGTAGAGTTAAGAAAGGCTCTCCCCCAATCCTATGTCCCAAAAAAGAATGAGAGGATGAAACCTCCTAGGCATGAACCTTTATAAAATGAAGTGAAGAAGGGTTACTTGGATATTTCAGAATAAAGTAAATACTTTAATTATTTTCCTTGGTCTCAGGGCTCTGATGGGCTTAAGGCCAGCAGAGCAATCAGAGTTAACTTGGGAGTCATGGGGAGGCTAAGACACTTGGGGGTTTGTAGCATTCCCCAGGATGCGTCACTGGTTCCTCAACCAATCGTTGTCCTTCAGGGAGTGCCAACGCCACCCTAGCAACTCAGCCAGGATTCCTTTGGCTTCTGTCATATACCTGGACTTCTGTGTTCTTGATTATAAATAGTGCACAGATTGACTAACCCATATAGATCTGCTCCAGCGAATAAACTTTACTCCTAGCATCCAGGCCATTAGAACAAGGAGTTGAGGTGAGATGAATATTGATCAGTTCCTCATACTGTGTTGTATGTGTGTGAATTGACAGCCTATAGGGAAAAAAAAAACTGCTAAAACAGGTACATGAAACTTTTCCTTACAGTTCCCTTTGAGAGTGTCAGAAGTAAACAATCATGAAACAAAACCAAAAACCAAAAAAAAAAAAAAAAAAGTTCCTATGAGGAACTAGCTTACTTAGTCTTAAAGAAAAGGACTCTGAATTTTAGGATGATACTGATGCTAGTTTTATTCTCTATTAATGTGCCCACTCAGGGACACCCACCCCAGTCAAAGAGCAACAGGGCACCCAGGGGCTTCTACCAAGAACACAAGAGCTCTCCCATGTCCTAAACAACCCAACACAGTGTCACCAATCTCAACAAGGATTCACTAAGTGCCCAGTGCCTAGGCCATGGAGACACTCAAATGCAACCCTGACGTTGAATATGGCCGAAGTACCTACACAGAGACTATTCTACTACATCTGCCTGGAACCAATACTAAAATACCCTACTCAACAGTCAATATAAAACACATCTATAGGAGGAAGTTTCTTTCTCCAAGGCCACTCCAGACTACAGAAGAAGCGACTGCACTACCAGATGACCAGACATCAATGCAGAGATACTAGAAATATGAAAAAAGAAAATATGACACCATTAAAGGAATACAATAATTCTCAAGTATCAGACCCCACATAGCAGGAAAACCTTGAAATGACTGAAAAGGAATTCTGAGCAACAGTCTTAAGGAAACTCAGTGAGATACAAGAAGACTCAGATGACACAACAAAATGAGAAAAACTAGGATATGAAGGAGGAAATTTACAAAGAGATTAATACCTTAAAAAAGAATGTAGCAGAACTCCTAAAACTGAAGTATTCATTCAATGAAATTAAAAAAAAAAAAAAAAAGAAAGAAAGAAACACAACTGAGAGCTTAAGCAGAAGGCTAGAGCAAGCAGAAGAAAGAATTTCTTATCCTGGAGACAGTCCTTTCAAAATAACTCAGGCAGACAAAAAGAAAAGAAAAAAGAATCAAGGAGACATATCCAAACTTGAGGAAGACTGTAATATCAGCCAGCAGTCCTGGTCTTAGTGCTGAAAACAATAACCAGATAAGACCCTGAGTTGTCACTCATTGCGGAGGAATTGTTCATAAGTACTCTTTTGTAGAGGCATGAACATTTCTTAAACAACCACCATTCTCCTCTTACTTCATTTCCAACAGAATTCTAATTTTGTTTAGATGACCACTTTTATAGGACCATGGGCTGAAATGAAGCCAAAGAGGTAGCTTGGGACCAGATCATGCTTGTAAGCCACTTAAAATTTTTGTATTACATTCTAAATTCACTAAAATATAAGCTCCATAAGGTCATGGATTTTTGTCACTGCTGAATCTCCAGAACAGTGCCTCACATATAATAGATGCTTAATATTTGTTAAATAAGTGAAAGTGTAATGGAAGGGCTTTGTACAGGGGAGTGATGTGATCTTCTGTAGAGCGTAGCATGGAAGTAGGGAAGTTAGAAAGCTATTACAGAAGTCCAGGGGAGAAATTATGGGGATTTAAACTGGGTGGCTGTGGTAGAGGTAGAGAGAAATGACCAGATTCATATCAAATTTTGAAGAGGTAGGGAAAGATTTTGCTAACATGGACAATAAGAGAAGTAGAGAAGACAAGAATAACAACAAAACAGTGACTGAGCAATGTTTAATTCAAAACCACAAGGCTGGGTAGTAAAGCTTTAAATAGTCACTAGAATTTCACTTTAAAAAAAAATTTTTTTTTTAATTGTGGTAAAATATACATAAAATTTACCATTTTAACCATTTTTAAAGTATATAATTCAATGGCATTAAGTATATTTACAATGTTGTATAACCATCACCACTATTTCCAGGACTTTCTAAAAAACAGACTATTTTTTAGAGCAGCTTTAGGTTCACAGCAAAATTGAGCAGAAAGTAGAGTTCCAAAATATCCCTTACCCCTACACACCCAAAACTCTCCCACTTAGAACTTTTTCACCATCCCAAACAGAAACTCTGTACCCATTAAGTAATAACTCCCCATCACACCCCCTCCCCAACCTCTGGTAACTTCTATTCTACTTTCTGTCTCTATGAATTTGCCTATTCTAAATGCCTCACGTAATGGAATCACAATTTTTGTTCTACTGTGTCTGGCTTATTGCACTTATCATGTTTTTAAAGTTTATCCATGTTGTCGCATGTATCAGAATTTCATTTCTTTTTATAGCTGAATAATATTCCGTTGTATGGAATATTACCACATTGGTTATCCATTTGTCTGTTCATGGACACTTCAGTTGTTTCTACCTTTCGGCTATTGTGAATAATGCTGCTAAGAACATTGGTGTACAGCTATCTCTTA